ATCTTAGTATCATTTGTTTTTCAGTGATCCGAAAATGTGCCTTTTCCAGTGTCTTCAATATTCATAAACAAATTCATTTCAATTCCTCAACCGTTTTTGAGGTTCTCGCTCAGCTAGGCCTCACGTTCCATCTTTTGTATTTGTTCTATTCCGTCTGATTTTTGATTGATCCAATCAACGAAAGAGTTCCAAAAAGTAGATTATGTCGTTTATAACGCCTTGAAATCGTAATTTAAGTTCGAATGTAATTTCTGAATCAATTTTTTGGTTCTCGTTGAAAAGACACACTCATTTGCTTTGTTTATGGCGTTCTGTTGAATATTTCTCTGACAAATTTCCACGAAAATTGAATGATTGTGCACTTTGTGTTTAATACTGATGCATTATTTCATTTGTGCCTTTTCAATTCTTGTTGTTGACGACAAATTCACTAACTCTGTAAAAATGATTTCTGAACAGTGGAAATCAAGTTGGAATTCATTCGCGATAGAATTCGTTAACATTTTTGACTTCGAATCAAGAGTGCCATAGGCTTATGAATAAGTCTATGAGAATACTAGATCGATGATTGTTTGAACGGTCAGCTCTCCGTTGAAAATTGCTAGAAAAGTGTTTCATGTCGACTGCGTTTTTTGCTGTTCGATTCTCTCACATCGAATTGTTGAAATACTATGTTTTAAATGTAACGGTACATTGGCTATAGCAGATCTCGCTTCGGTAATAAGTATCCATATCCACTGAAAATATCTTATTCAGCAATGTGTAATTTCAATACGTTTTATCTCACTATAACTCAGTTTTCGATGTCAGCTTCAATCTTCAGCTGCTTCTGCAGTCGAAATGAAGTTGTGCTTAAATGAGATAACCTTAAGCATTGTCGGAAATTGTGATCTTTTATATGGTATGGTTTAATGCGAGAGATGAGATATTGATCTGTGATCGGTATTGAGTGTTGATGAAGTTCATCATTGCAGAGATGAGCACTTTCACTGTTCAATCCGGTCTTTCGGCGGCCAATGTCCTCACTCCAGAGCGACAAATTCTAGTGGTTGGTAAGCAGAAGCAGTTGAAGAGTTTAGACTTTGAGAAGGATCTGAAGGCGAAATTCGGTGATTCCGTATCAGCCCAACTCTGGCAACAAGCACTCAATGCGCTCTCCGTAAAATCGCCTTCGTCAGTACCATTGTATCTGAATCTAGCCAAGGTTTGATCAACGTTGCCTTTCTAATTTATCAATTCATTGAAAGAGTTATCTGAGCCACTGATCATGTGCCTTTCCAAAATTTAAAATTGCGAATTGCTTCTCGAGCGTTCAGAATTGAAACAAAATCTTCTGAATTGATAATTTCTGTTCGGGATATTTATGTGATTTTCGTTGATTGAATAACGAATCTGTTGTTGTCAAAATTGTTGGACTATTGTTGTTCGCTTTGCTGGCGTTTTCAGTTTACCGATTGTGAGTGTTATCATCGGCTGGTTGTCATTTCAGTTGATCGCTGTGCCCGATGAAGTTAGTCGTCATAACGCACCGTCAAATTCGGTTGCTATTTTCAAAGAAGTGAAGTCCGTCGGTCGTCCGGATGGCGTAAAGGTTGATTTCTGTCAACTTTGCTCTCGCACTGATAGATTCATTTGAATGTATTTTATCGGTTTGAATGTTGAATACTGTATTGGTTTCAACGGATGAAGTCGCTACTAAGCTGAGGATGTGGTCAGAGAATTCGTAGAATTCCACCACAACGAGCCATCTGTTGTTTCCGAAATCAGTTATTGAGAATTTTCATGTTTTCATTGGTAAGTGAAAATCCGAGAAATTCAGAATATCTCTGTGGTATTGTACGCTGATGTAGCTGACGTTTTCGCGAGTGTTGCTTCGATCTCACGTTGTTTCTCGCTTTATGATCGACGAACGAAACTGGGCACTCCTTTGGAAAGTGTCAATGTCGAAATCATGGTTCCACCGGATCAGGTACCGAGCACTTCTAATTAGATTCCTTCCGTATCAGATTCTCCCCGCTTTCAGTTCATAACCCATCAACAAGAATGTTTTGTGTAATATCACGAGTTCCAAGTGATCAAGAGAAACGTTTAGAAATTGTCTGATGAGGACGTGAAATTTCTTCAAGCACTCAGTGAATCGATTCGATTCGCTGCACGTCTTATCGACACTCCTTGCAATGAGCTACATACAGAAGCGTTCACGCATGAAGCGCAGTCGTTTGTTGGCAAACTCAATGGTGTCACGTCGACGATCATTAAGGTTTGATTGCATTTGAAAAAACAATTTTGATGTGTTGGAATTCAAGAGTGCATCATCTGCCAATAGTTACACCGTTCAAGCGATTTCCTGTGCTTCATCTTCAATTTTCAACCGATGTCGTGTAAGATAAAAAAGATCTAAGCACTGGTATTCGGGAAAGTCAACTGATTGCTGGTGGAACTGCAAATGTAATAAATGAGAGATCGAATGGAATTCGGTTAATAGGTCTTCAGCGAGAACCTGAAATTGCAGTGATGATTATCATGATGTGCTAATTTATTTGATCACATCCGTTGTAGGGCAACGAGCTTTTGAAACAAGGTTTCGGTGGTATCTATCATGTTGGTAAAGCGGCCGCACATCCGCCTGTGTTCGCTTGTTTTAGCCATAAACCATCAGGTGCCACGAAAAACTACGCGCTAGTCGGAAAGGGTATTGTATACGATACCGGTGGAATGTCAATCAAAACCAAAAACACCATGCCAAGTTTGTTTGAACATTCAGTTTAATCATTATCGTTATTTTGTACTTTAGTTGCAAAAACGCTGTAAAAGTTGATATTTCATGATATATCCCATTAAAAAAATCCGCATCATGTTGATTTCGTTATCGTTGAGATAATGACAAATTTTAGGTATGAAAGAAGATATGGGAGGTGCCGCAGGTCTTCTATCAGCCTTCTACACTTTGGTGAAATCGGGATTCAGTCAGAATCTTCACTGTATTTTGTGCATCGCTGAGAATTCTGTTTCACCTGAAGCAAAGTCAGTTGGTTGAAAGCTTATTTGAGGAATCTTAACCAGATAATGATATTGAACATGTGATGATAAACTGATCAAATGATTGACTGATGTGCAAAGAAGTTCACTTTCATCTGTATTTGTTACGTCCATGTGGCTTGAGATGTTTGTTCCAGTTGGTTTGAGAGTGATAATTTGTCATCGGACATCATTTTTTGAGTACGTGTTAGCTGTAAATGCGAGTATGATAGTAGTGAAATCAGTAGTAAAACTGTACAGTAGTCTATAAAATCGAATGAAATTTGTTTATGTTACAGAATATTTCAATGCTAGTTCATCTAACTAGTGATCCCAAGCAAGTGGATAGATTAATCACCGGAAGTTGTTTCAACTCCGGAAGAAAATCCCCCCCCCCCTTCCTCCAAGAAAAGAACAATTCATATGTGTCCCTTTTGTTCTCATAGAATACTCTATTNTCACATCGTTCTTGGGACATTGTTTCACGAAATTCTCTTCGACGAAATTTGATCTGCAGCCTTTGTTTGAGCAGTAATGAAGAAAGACGTGTGAGATAGCCTCTGTTTGTTTTATTGTATATTTGCTTTTCATTGTTAAGTATTCTTTTTTTTATGTTTTGTTTGCCGGAGCCTTTCTTTTGCGTGTAGGCAGATCAGTTTTTATTTGGATTAATGCATTCAGTGAACTAAACTGAAGTATTCAGTTCAGTTTTCGATTGCCCAACAAATATTTACTCCGGATGCGAACAATTATTTATTCTTTATGTTTGCTTAATATTATCAGTATTATGTGTCGCAGTTCATTCTTTCTCAGAATTCTTATTTATTTTGTTCAGTTTTTTGTTGTTCAAAGAAACGAGAACATTTGCATTCCGTTCAACTCATTCGGAATGTAAATTCCCGAAAGAAAAAGGAACCTTTGAGCAGAGTATTCTCATTTCAGTCGACCAGATGATGTGATAACAATGTTGAGTGGTAAAAGTGTGGAAATTAATAACACAGATGCAGAGGGTCGTTTAGTGCTTGCAGATGGTGTTTATTATGCGAAAAATGTCTTGAAGGTTCTCATTTTGCAA